TGGACCAACAGATGAATTCTAACAACCTTACTTAAAAAAGAATCTGTGGAGCTGGCATGGTGGCTCACGCCTGGAATTCCAGCACTTTAGGAGGCCCAGGAGGGCGGATCACTTGACCTCAGAAGTTCAAGACCAGCCTGGCCAACATGGTGAAACCTCACCTCTACTAAATATACAAAAATTAGCCAGGTGTGGTGGTGCTCACTGGGGATCCCAGCTAATTGGGAGGCTGAGGCACCAGTACCAGGGTACTCCCTGCTCTTGATGGTGCCACTTACACATACCACAGGTTCTATTAGGAGCAGGGTTCCTTTCAAGCCCTCACAGCAGGTACTGTGTGCTATCACTGTGTTTCCCCAGTGTCCCCAGAACACAGCTTTGCTTACTGGGCCTCAGCAGAAACTGGAGCCAAATGAAAGTTAAGAGCCCCAGACATTTAGACCAACAGACTAGATGTTACTTGTCTGCAGGATCTTATATGGTACAGAGGGGATTCCTGTAAACATGATTTAGCCTTTTGCTGAGAAAAACAAGTGGTTCTGTGCCTGTGTCAGAAATCAATAGCTGGCATTGTAACCCTAGTCCCACACCCACCTTACTGCAGACGTGGAAATGTTGCTAAATACTTTGTCCTCTGTCTTCCATCTTTAACTAAATGTTGAAATACCCATTGCTATTCTCTACAAGTATGGGAAGAATGAAACTAATTTTGATGAAGAGAATGGTTAGTTTCTCGAGACAAGACAGGACCTCATTCATCAGTTTCGTGGTGGTCAACCTATAGAACTTACTGTATGTCTTCAGCTGGTAGTTCTACAAGTAGGCCACCTGGCTCATAAGAAGTCTAGTTTTGCTGTCTCTGATATTCTGTTTGGTCTCTGTCTGCTGGGAGTAAGAATTGTCGATGGTATGTGGAAAGTTCACCTCTGTGGTTTTCGTGGAACAAGTCCCGCCAGATGTCGCCATGCTGACATTTGGGACACCACAGGTACAGCCAGGGACTGGAGAGAAGAAATCCAAACACATGATGGGTTAAAAACTGGAAATCAAATAGGTTTAATCAGGACTGGGGGATGTCAACAACTCAAATTCTTAACTTACTGTTGAGAAAAATTTGATCCTCACAGCACTTTAGGGTCCTTAACCGCAAAAACAAGGTTCGCAATGCTTCAGCTGGGAGCTGAAGGCACTGCCTGTAGCTCAGGTTCTGACAAGAGTGTGGGAGATAGTGGCCAGAGTCCCAGGTAACGGTCTGCTGTTGCAATAACAGAATTCGAAGCTGGGCGTGTCATGGAATCTTAGGAGCCCTTCATTCCAATTGCCCAGGGTTTGCTAAAACACAGGCCTCCTGGTCTCACCTGAGGTCACAACCGATGGGGACCATTCCTCTATCAGTCACTCAGTATTTGTGACACTTGTGACAATGCCACAGTCCCATCTCATTCCCAATATATCTAAGCATGTGCCTCACTTTTCATCTCTTATGTGTATAAAATCATCATGGCAGAAAGAGTTTCCCAACATGTGATATTTTCTTAATGCTAGTCATGAAGTCAGTCATCCCTCCTTCTCATATGTTAAAACAGAATTGAAGGCTTCTCCACAAGTTTAACATATCAACCTATTACACTGCCATGTTATCCTCTGAGTCTGCTGCAGTTTTTTCTGCATCCACTAGAAAGTGAATGAATAATTCATTTCTTAAAAATGTTTTCTTTCCTGGCTCGATATTCTTCTTGCTGTATCCCATGGTTATGCTGATTTAGTTTTTTTTTACTGGCAGATATCACTACGCTGATGTTTGTGGCAGAAGAGACTTTTCACTACACTTAAGACCAGCTTGACATTCCTATGTCCAAAGCTTCCTCCATGTGGGATGATTTGCTTTTTTAATGTGACTGAACATTACATCTCACGCTTGTCACTTATAGATGTCATTCTAGTCCCAGAAGAGCTCTTTTCAAGGTGTTAAGTCATTGAAATCATTTCTATGGAGATCTCCTGAAAGCATGTGTGACCATCTATCTTGGGAAGTCTTGTAAACCTGATATGATTTTCTTGTTTTCATTTCATTTTTTCCCATATACTGAAAATAACAAGGCCATGAGCGGTCCTTATGGAATACTGTTTGACAGATATTTTTCTGAGTTGGTCTAACACCATTGAGGTGTGGTTGCATCCCACTAACTAAACACCGTAACATCAAGGTGATGGTCAGGGGTGGTTGTGGTCCTCCGTGTTGCTGTGCAGTAGGAGGTGAATTTGAGATGACAGGAACGAGTAGGGAAGAGCGATCCCCTGAACCACCTCCTCACTTTCTCAGCTTTCATCGCCACCCAGGTTTTGTGAGCCTGGGACTTGGAAGACTGTTCTGTAGCCCACGTCTCCTATGTTTGGCTGCTTTCTGGGCTTGCCTGAGTTGAGGGTGCAATGGGTGTGACCCTGGGCTGCCCAGAATTCATGTGGAAGTGAAGCAAGGAGGACTGGATCAATCCCATTGGAAAGCGTGCCTCTCTACAGCCCCCATCATCCTCCAGCAACACCGTAAGCATACAGCTTTGACATACATCAAAGGCTTTAGGTATATACATGTTCTGGGGTCTGGGAGGCCTGACATTCTGTGACAGAAGGAAAATCTGTCAGGTTTCTTCATTATAAAAATGATGAAACTGCAGGTTCACAAAGTTATGGGCTTACTCGATATCTCAAAGAGCTGAGTTTTGAGAACAACTAATAAAAGCAATCACAACAATTTTTCCATAATTATTCATAGGATCCATGTCATTCTGTAAATATTCATACAATTATTCAGGAATTATTTGTTGATCAATTTGTACCAGGCATTTTGCTCAAAACTGTGCACATATTTGACAGAATATCTTCATCATAATCCTCAAGGTAACGCTGTTATCCTAAGAATCAGGTATGAAACCTGAGCAAGAGGGCTAGCAAATCATGAATTTGGCCATATTTCCATTTTTTGGTTTCTGTGATGCTGGACGAATGACCAGAATGAGTCACAGGAAGAGTATTCATTCCTGTATCATCTTCCAGGACAGAGGTGTGCCCTCCTAAATTATTGGGCCCAAAATTCAGAAGCATCTGCAACCTTGCCTTAACAGTGTGGGAAATATCCTCTATTACCTGGAATTTCCCTGGACCTTTGGAATACACAAGAGAAGTATGAGATGTGGTCTTCCCTTGGCTATATTTATTTCTCTCTTCTATGGAATACCAATGATTTTCACTAAGACTTTAGCTTTTTTGCTTTCTTTCTTTCTTTTTTCTTTTCTTTTCTTTTTTTTTTTTTTTTT